GTGCCCACAATCTGCAATTAATTTTGCAAGGAGGGTGGTTAAGCACTGGAACAAGTTTCCCAGAGGGACTTAGGAATCTCCAGTCCTTGCTCAGCTGAGTTGTGAACATTTCCAAGCCCTAGAGCAACCTCATCCAACTTTGAGGCAAGCCCTGCTCTGGGCAGGGGACTGGACCCCAGACCTCTAGAGGTCCTTCCCAAAAGTCAATCACTCCTGACTCTGAAAAATGCTGAAAACCTGAAAGCGACCATTTGTTGAGGGGCTGACTAATTAAAAAAAAATTACAAAATGCTGTTTAAAAAAAAATATTACAGTAAGTCATTATATCCAACTTAATATGTCAACTGCAAAGAGTTACCTGAAGGAAGGAAAATTAAGGGGATTAAAGTAAGGGGCATACCACTTGTGACAAAGAGACAAAACCAAAAAAAAGCCATCGGCTTGTGTTTATGAGCCACTGTGTTTCTAATTAGGGACGGACACAGAATTTGCATTTTATCTTGATTGAAACAGAATGCAAACCAAAAAAATAAAGGCGGCTGCTGTTCAACCGTTTTCCCTGTTTAACTCAAGGAATAACCTTACGGCATTCAAAATAGCTGGTTCTTTTTCCTGCCGTTTTTAAGATCTCAACTTCATCAGAGTGATTTCAATTTAAAACAGAGGGGACCTTCAAGTGTGGGAGAGAAGGAATGAGATCACCTACCAAGCAGTAGCTGTGTAGCACAGAGCAGGGGTGCAACAGAAGCCACAGCAGCATGCAAAATAAATCAGTAGGCATCAATAAATCAATCAAAGGATGAAGGAGATCCATGCCTGAGACCAGGGAAAGCAGTAAGAGTGACAGCCATGGCTCCTCATATCAGCCCTGCCTTCGGGGGTGGCTGGCTGAGAAGGATGCTCCACACAGCCCAGCAGTCACCATGCACTAAATTCTCTTGAAATGCAGCAAAATGGAAATCAAGCAAGTGCTCAGCAGGACATACCAGACAGCTGCCGTCAGACAGAAGGAACCAATTTCATTTCCTTCTGCCACAGTGACTCAAACGATGCATATGACACAGACTTGCAGACAGCACCTCAGAGCAGGACACAAGGCTAGCTCGCTCTCTTCTCTCCTTGCTCTCACCCAGTACTGGCATGCCAAAACCCATGGAAGAAAACCAGTACGCAGCACCTGAGTGCCATCCAAACCCCTCTTGGAGCTGAGCATCATGTTTCTACCCACTGGACAAGACTCTCTAGAAGCCAACAACAATTTCAGTGCCCCCCACACCCTTCTATCTGAGAGCTACAGCTGTTGGTTGAAGGAGCATGTGTCTCCTACAGCCCCACTGGAAAGAGGCACGGATGTTACATCAGGACAGGATCTGCCCTGACTCTGCTGTAAGGCTTCACCCCTGCTCCTTTATTCACACCCCCAAGGGCATCTTCTTTTTTTTTTTTTCCTTTTCTGCCCTGTAACCAGAGATTGTCACCAGACCACATCACCTGTTGGGAAGATCAAAACCAGGCTGGTAACTGCGAGACCATGTGAAACGCCTTTCACACACCACCATCAGTTACTGCTGCTTGATGGGTGGCCCAGGACTGCCACAGGGCCTCACTCTGTTGACATGGAGAACGAAATCCCTGCAGCAATCTTGGACTCAGAGGTGCAAGGGAGGTGCATACTGCAATGAATGAATGCAGAGAGATTTTGTTTGCAAACCGAACCGCTTCCTAGAGGTATCACGGTATACATTGCACCTTTGCCACCCGCAGACAGGAAAAGATGCTACACCCACCAACTCCTCTTTCAAGCTTAACGATTTCTGGCAGCAATCCTGACAGCTCAGCATGACTGCTACTCTTGAAGACCGTCTGCAGTTTCTTACCCCTCCCGCTATCCTGCCAACAAAGCAACGACGACTCTTAGCATCATGGTTTATTCCCCCTCCATATGTACAATTAAGTGTATGCATGACCATTAAAAATAAGGCTACTTATGTCATGGCTCTGAAACACATTACAAACCAACTCCACCCCCTCTCTTATAACAACATTCAAAATACTTGGCTTCCATGGTGTGCAGAGAAGGGTGAACACAACCAGACCACATGGGTGATTAAGTGGTGCAGGGCTTTGGTAACCGGATCTAGAAGCTTCCTCCTTTAGCTGAATCAAATGGAGCCAGGTCAGTGGGGAGGGAGATCGTTATCCCAGGACATCTTGGTGAGGACAGTCCAGGTCCCAGGCAACTGCAGGCCACCCCATCTCTGCAGCTGCTGGTGGCAAGCAGCAGTGAGGACAAGGCTTGTCTTGACAGAAGGGCAACTTACTCCCCTCCTTTGGAGCTGCCCCTTGGGGTTGATGCAGAGGCATAAAGACAGGAGGAAGGGAAACTGCCCTTCTCTTCTTGATGACCAGAGGACTTCAGTTTCCAGAGGTGTCAACCTGGGTGATATTTTTCAATATGTAATGCATCTAAAAAAACAAACAAACCACCACCATAAATCAAAGGAACAACTGAACCATAGCATTATGGGCTCTCAAATCAGATTGCTTGAATGTCCAGCTAAGGCTTAGACACCTTTTTTCCCCAGTGGGGATGAAGGAACAGTCCAGGTGAAAAGTAACTGGAGATGTGCAACCGAGGACAGCCCTGTGTGGTCCTGTAAGCTCCCTTCCCACGTAAATCTGTTCCCATATGCAACAACAGAGAATTTTCCAGCTTCAGCTTGTGGCTCAATAAATTTTATTATTCCTTTTTGTTTTTATTTAAAAGAATTTGTTTTCCTATCATAAAAATTAGACAACCATACCACCACCAGCAGCAAAGTCTGTGGAGTTAATGTTGATGGCAGATAGTTCACTGGTGTTTCCAGTGTCTCAAAATGTCCTAGAAAGTCCATAAATGGAAAAAACCCAAACATGATGGTTTTGGGGAGGAACATCAAGGTGGTTTCAGCTTCTTGTCCTGCTGAGGATCCCAGATGAATACTGTAGCATATGAGCAGAACCAAGTACCCCATGCCTTGAGAGAAAACCCTTCATACCAGCTCCAGTACCTGATTAGTAGGGAAGATGAGACATTTAGAATAGGAATTTATGACATTCATTCATTATCTCCTACATCAGCATATAGATCACTAGGACAGGACTGACCCCTCCGTCTCCACCCCTTACCCTTTATTCACCAGCATGCAATACTACCACACAAATGGAATAAACACTTGGCAAGGATCCTGATTTTGATGTCTGCTTTCACTAGGATAAATTACAGCATGAAGCAAAACCATCCACACAGTTGCCTTACTTCCACTCATCCCAATCAACTAGCTCTTGAAAAATCTTGTAGTAAAGATGAGAGATTTTGTCCTCTCAGCCCTCTATACTAACATTTCCCTTCGTCCACACTAATATGTTGCAGCAGCCTCTGAAGGCACAGTCTAGAGATGGCAGAAAAGTGACTATGAGGGCTGTCACAGCCTGTATTAACCTGGTTTGGTTTTACTGGGGAAAGCTCAAGAGCTTGAACCCATGGGTCCTGTCTGGCATGGCATCTGCCCCCAGACTGAGGTAGATTTCTGCAAGCCCAGTCCTTTCCCAGACCATCCCACCTTTCTCCTGAGTGCTGCCAAAGGCAAATGGAAATACCAGAGCTCTGACAGCTATGGCTGTTTGCATATTTCTCTCTCTACTGTCTCTCATTAACAAGCAAAGTGCATGAGCAAAACCTCTCATCTCTAATCGTTCTCCTGGTGCTGCTGAATTCACTTCAAGAGATCAAAAGTGTTTGTGTGTTTTGACCATTTTACTAAAGGAGGAAGTGGCCAGAGTCATGAGCAACCAATTCCACAGCCTATGAATGAGAGGCTACAGCATCACATGCTGCAACAGGAGGAAAAGGCCACTCGTGGCCTAAAAAGGAGGGAAAAAAAATAATTCTCACATACACAGACCACTTGTGTTGCTCCCCCTTCCTGCTTTTTTGGTGATTTTTCCAGGACTGTTCAGACCAGCAACTCTGGTCTGGTTTCAGAGAGCTGCTATTGTCACAGGGGTGTGAGGGGGTATCAGGATGAGGACCTCAGCTTCATGAGTGACAATCCAGCATCTAACTTTGCAAACAGCAACCTTTTAGAAAAAAATAAACAATCAGCAGCTAGAGAAAGCTGCCAGGGCTCTGGGCTACAAGCTTTCAGCATTAGCCACCAAATCTCAGAAAGAATGATGGAGGTGAATACTGCTGTGTGCAATTTGGGATCGCATCAGATCCGAGTTCTCTGGAGGGTCAGCACCAGCCTGGCTCTGGGTACTGGTTTTGCTTGGCCATCTGACAGACACATAAAGGACAGTCTTTTCCATATTATTTGACATTTCGTGGATAGAAAAACAGACACACTGGAAGACTTTTAATTCATGTGCTGAAAACCCAGGAAAACGCTGGCTTCTCAGTGCACAGGGAAAGTTGTTTTCACAAAACCCTGCGCTGCCAACTGCTGTCTGTTACAGACTGTGAGGACACCAGGAGTAAGCAACCAAAGCGAGGAAGCATCCCTGCTCATTTCAAACATTGCTCCAGCTGACTGCACATCAGGAGCTCTGCTTTCAGCTCTGCTGCACCCCCTGTCAGCAGCAGCAGCTGGAGGACAGGCTCTGGCTAACGGCGATGAGTTAACACACAGCCTCCGCTGCCAAAACCAGCATGAAGCTGGTGAGATGCTTGTGCCAGACTCTCCGTGCTACCACAAGCCCAAGGAGCTGTGGAGGCACGGTGGGTGCTGGACGGCCATCGGCAGCTTTGCTGCACCTTGCTTCAGCTGGGTTTTGTTGTTGGGGTGCTGTCTGCTTGCTCTGTCACATGCCAGAGGCAAATGCATCATTTAAATTACTAACTTCTACATGTGGGATGACCTCCTCTGATGGTTTCTCCTGGCTGTACAGTTCCTCTGACCTTGCCTCTTTACTAACAACAGATTCAAGCCTTTAAAGAGGAGATGCATGAAATAACTTACCTTAATTGTACCCTGACTGTTAGCAGCAATCAGCACATTGGACTCCTGCAAAAAAAAAAAGAGGCACTATCACAATCTGCCATTGCCTTTTAAATTTTTTTTAAATTTTTAGGCAGTTGTTTTTATCTTAAACATTAGGAGTATATCTAATTTCAAAGGGACTTAACTCTTCAATTTTCCAAGATGCTTTCGAGGCTAAAAGTCTTTATAAAAGTTGTATTACCTTGAAGAATTAGAAAGCAATAATCCTTTGTGCTTGTAGAGAGATTTAAATCTCCCAGAGCAATTTACAAACATGAATTAATCCTCACAGTCTCTCTGTGAAGTGGGCAAATAATAATAATTTTCATCTTTTGGCAGCGTATGGACAAAGGTCTCCAGTGTCCTAACTAAACCAACTATTCACCATGACAAAACCTCTCTGGCTCTGAGGCCACCACCTCTCTCACAGCCAAGAGGTTTCAGACAAGTAAAACAAAGAGGAGAAGAGATTAGAGAGCAATAGCAGATACACTCAGTTTGTAAAGGAAGATAAACAGACAGGGCTTCAGCCCTACTTTATTCAGGAAGGCAGCATCTATTTACCTCCTGCCAATTAATGGAGTTGCCTTTGGAGATGCCCTGGTTGTCTGCAAATTAATGGTCTGCTGATTCAGTCAGGCAACCCTCAGGCAAAAACTGGGGGACACAGCCTCTGCTCTTCAGACTGCATCCCCAGTGTGACCACCAAGTACAGATACACCCTCTCACACTACATCATTCAGTCAGGGGGAAATACAAAGGAACGATATGGTGCCAATAAACCTAGAGCATGTAAGTACAGGGGCATTGGCAACAGCCCTGGAGATGCTGAGATTGAACCACCACTCCCAGACAACCGTCCCGCATCCGTCCTTACGCCAGCAATCGTAGCATACGATGCCAAACCGTCTGCCACACACTTTAGGAACCGATGTAGGAAAAATCAGTTGTTTTCCCTAAAGACAACTGATTTTTCGTCAGACACATTTTTCGAATTCTCTCACTGCTGCTATCCATCCTCAGACAAACTTGCCATAACTATCACTTAACACATGCATTTTTAATAAACTCAGTGACTAGAATATGGCCAACTCCAAAGGGAGCAGAAAGGCAGCTCGACCCAGCCCCAACAGGCAACAGCCCCTGCCTCGCCACAAGGGTCAGGACTTCACACAGCCACCAGCTTTGACGCAGAGAGGAAAAAGCCTTTTTCATACAAAAAGCCACTTACGTAGAAGTAGCCTTGTGGTGGACCACTGGGCTAATTGTTACAGATAGATTTATTTACCCCCAGTACAATCATTAGGGGATTAGTGAAGACTCCTGATATCTCACAAACAATCCTCCAAGTCAAAGCTCCTGAAAAAAAAGTATATCTTCAAAGGAAACATGCACTCCAATTTCCATTAATGTGGTGGCTAAAAGAGTCTAATCCTGTGAACTGCTCAGCTTCTGGTTAACAGCATTAGAGTCATAACCCACCAGGGAAATGCAGATATAAAAGTGTGATTCGGGGACTAAAACAGAGCCTGGGATGCCAGATAGGATTTTGGAGGCAAGGGAGAGACACCGGCAAATATCTAGCGTGCAGTGCAAGAGACGAACTCCTGAGCAGAGATGATTCAGGGTTTGAATGATTCCTGTTTGCACTGAGTGATTGGTAATTCATCCTGCTGCTGCAGTCTGCTGGGGTACCACTGTAAATGAACTCTGGTTCAATGAACAGTTTTACCTGCTAAATAAAATAAAAACACCAGAGGGTAATATACTCTCACTCCCTTGTTCTTCAGAAGCCACTGTTTGGTTTTTTTTTCCCCCCAGCAGGGTCTGAGCTAATCACTGCTCTGCTGCTTTCATCTACAACAATGAGACACAAACGGGAGCAGACAGCAGCAAAATTAGCACCAAATCTGTCATCGACCAAACAGTGACTTGCTTGTTAAGGCACTCTAGCACTGCTTACCCAGGAACACAGCTAAGTACCTTGGTTTTAATCCTCTAAAGAAACAATTCTCTTCCTTTCGTATTGCCTCTAAAACAGTCAGTATGTTAAACACCTAAACAAGTCATGAAGTTGCTTAGATCTGTAGGTTCCTAACTCACAACAGCCACATGCATGCTGAACTAATCTTTACTAGGACATGTGTGAGTGGAGTCACCACATCCTCAAAAGACAACCACCATGACCACGTAACTGGCAGAATACTTATTTTCCCTACCACACCAATACAGGCATCTGTGTGTCTTGGGCAAGAACAACAGGGTATCACCATCCCCTGTGGTTGCATGTTCTACTTTACCATAATCACTTGGTGTTACTATGCAGGGCAAGAGGGCTGGAAGGCTGGCCTTCCTCATCCCCCTCTGATTTTTTTTTTGTCTGCAGGAGCCCAAGCTCCCAAAGCAGGGGCAGGGGGTAATGCTGGAGATCCACCATGAGTAGTCTCGCTCTGAAGAAATCAGTTACTAAAGTGACATTTCTATGCACGCACCCCCTATGGGTAGTTAGCGTCTGTAGCCCTTCTTAATAGAAGGGGCAGAAGATGCCTTTGCTAAAACAAGATTGAAGAAAATCACCCACAGGGACAAACACAACAAATAAAGAGATGAGGGTTTACTGCCTGGAAAGCAACAGCATTTTATTCCATACAGCTGCTAATCTCAAGTATTACGAAAAAACAAAAAAAAAAAACCAGCCACAGGGACAAACACAACAAATAAAGAGATGAGGGTTTACTGCCTGGAAAGCAACAGCATTTTATTCCATACAGCTGCTAATCTCAAGTATTACTGCACCCTGGTGGAAATGTAACCTGATGGAACGTGGCAACCTCTCCGCTGCACATCCAGACATGTAAGGAGCAACTGGTGGAGACGGTATTACTGTGGTGGAAATGTAACCTGATGGAACATGGCAACCTCTCCGCTGCGCAACTGGTGGAGATGCAGCGTGGAGCCCTCAGGTCCCCTGCGATGAGATAACATGGCATCTCAACAAACCAGGGACAGCCACAGACTTGATGTGAGACAGCTTAAGAATTTCGGTCCTAAGTCAACAGAAAAGAGTAAGGCTCTGGGGATGTCAATGGTGGAAATGTAACCTGATGGAACATGGCAACCTCTCCGCTGCGCAACTGGTGGAGATGCAGCGTGGAGCCCTCAGGTCCCCTGCGATGAGATAACATGGCATCTCAACAAACCAGGGACAGCCACAGACTTGATGTGAGACAGCTTAAGAATTTCGGTCCTAAGTCAACAGAAAAGAGTAAGGCTCTGGGGATGTCAAAAATATGCATCTCCTTGTCTCTTGGCATTATGTACAAATACAGGAAGATTAATTGTCAAGTGCAGGTGAATCTCAGGACTCATGTTAAGATTAATATAGAGTGCAGGACCAGAACTGCTCTAACATGCTCCAGGGTTGAAGACCTGTGCTAAGACTTACAAAGAGCCTTTCACACATACCAACTTTTTCCTTGACTGCAGTGACAGTATTATGGGAAGTCTGAAGGACAGTTCCTTGACATTGGGAAGGACTTGACTCCACCACAAATCTTTGTTATTCCACAGACTGGACACATATCCACACAGAGGTGGGCATTATGCAAAATGAAATGTTAAATCAGTCCTGAGACAAAGTCAGACCATAGAGAAGCACCTCTGTCCTGAACCTGACCAATCCAATCTCCTGGATGTGGCACTGGATGAACATGACAGGTCTACCTACAGGAACTTAGAAGCATTTGTCCTGAGGATTTGAAGGGACTTTCTTTGATTGCACCAAAAGAAGACATTTCTGCAGCACATTCTTGATAGCAAAGAAAAACAAAATAAAATTTAGGACCTTCCTGAGTAGATGAGATGCCCGCTACATTCATCATTCGAAGGAATTATTCACCCGGTGACAGATGGTTTTTGAAGCACACGGATTTTCTTCCCTCCCAGATGAGCCCTGTATTTGGATGGCCCTGGGGAAGCAATTTGTACAGGGAAAGAAGGGAGGAGAAATAAAGTCTGTCTGACTGCTGGTCAGGAGCAGTTGGCATTAAGAGAATCAGAAATGCTCCGGATGCTTTGTGAAGCTCGAGGAAACACAGCTGAACAACTCAAAAGTTGTCTTTTACTCCCTATCACACTGAAGAAGCTCTGACAGCTGAGGTTGCAGCTCTTCCAATCTTTCTTTACATCTTGGTGCAAGAAACCAGTGGGGTGGGAGAGGAGGGGGACAGAACTAGATGAACATCACCAGAGATGGACAGCTGTTAGAACCACACACACCCTTCCTTGGAGGGACACACACTGATGGTCCAAGAACACTCAACTATGGAGCAAGGGAAAGCTCCAGACAGACCTTCTAGCTAAGCTGTAAACCACCCCTTGAACCCAGTAAGTGAGGCTTACCTCCAGTCACCACTCTCCACCAGTACAGAACCACTGTGGATGCCCACCTGCAGCTGCAGTGCTCCCATGAGTTGAGCACTCCTCTGGCCAGTGGGCTAATGCAAAATCACAGCCGAGTATTTTATCACCTTCCCTTCCCGACACAAGGTAGAGAACCCCTGTCCACAGGGGCTCAAAAGAGGCACGATAAGCAGTGTTGCATCGTGTGTCCCCCCTGCCCCTTTGCTATAATCCTTTGTGAGACCATTCCTCCTCTGTTATCCCACATATATTAAGGATTAAAGTGAGATTCAGAAGCTCACCCTGAAGGAAAAGCTGGAGCATGTCTACACAAAAGGAGGCACCTGGGTGCTGACTCTAGAATATCTTGGTCCCCTTGTTGGGAGTGAAACTGAATCAGAACATTTATATGTAAAGAATCTGACACTTCTCTAGTTCATAAGCATAGTTAGTTTTGTAAAAGCTGGTCTTACCAGGAACAGAGTTGGAGTATTTGAAGGCTGGGAACTACAGTGGGTACCTAACAACCATGGCTTTAACCATGTATGCCAACATATAAAAGATGTAGCAGCACTCCCTCTGACAAACCCGACATAGCTCGACAAAGTTAACCTTTAAACAAA